GGCGGGTAGCGCGGGGCGGGGGCGCCCGTGGCCTAGCGCCGGCGGCGGGGCAGGAGCGGGGCGGAGGGGCGGGGGTCGCCCCGGCGGGGGCGCGGGGCCGGGGTGGGGAGGGGCGGGGCGGGGGCGTTCCGGCGGGAGCGGTTATGTAACGGGAGAGGGGGGCGGTGGGGCCGGGGTAAGGCGCGCGCCCGGGGGGCGCGGGATTCGTGGGGTCGTTCCCACGCGGTGGCGGTCCCTCCCCGCCTGCCTCCGCGCCGCGTCCGTGCGGCGGGTACCGGTGCCGGGAGTAGCGCGGGATTTATCCGCTGGGAACTTATGTGCGTGAGCGTGTGCGTGCGTGTGTGTGCCCGCGCGTGTGCCCGCGCTGCCCCTGCGCTAAGAATAGCACCGCGCCCGGCGGGCCGCCTGTGGCAGCGCCTCGCACAAGGGCTGATGATGATGATGATGCTGCTGCCGCCGGCGGCGGCTCCGGCTGCAAGTAAACAAACCGGCCCCCCCGCCCGCCCGCGCCCGCCCCGGCCATCATGGAGGCCGCAGCCCGCATGCAAAAGTTGATGCGCAGCCGGCTGCCCCGGGCGACCGGCGGCTCCGCCGGGCCGGGCCGGGCCCGCGACGGGGTCTGCCCGGGCGGCCTCTGCCCGGGCGGGGTCCCGGCAGGTGCTGCCGTGGGCCGGGAGTGCCGCACGTGCCCGCGCGCACCCCTCCGTAGGTGCGGGGACGCGCCGGGGCTGCCTGTGCGCGACCCCCCCTCCGGAACGGTGCGGATGCGCCGTGGGGTCTGTTTGGCGGGAGGTCAGCGCGGCGCCCCGCGGGAACGAGAGAGCGCAGTGCTATATATTGTAGTTTAAATGCAAATGATCGTGATGTAACGAGCAGTACCGGGTTCATAGGCTGTGGGGCTGTTCTGTACGGGCACCACTTAGTTTACTTCTAGATGGGAATTCAAGAGGCGTGAAATAGCCAGGACTGTTTCTTTCACGTTCTCCCATGATATGTTATTTAAAAAATGAAGAAAAGAAATCTTGTTTTCTTGCAGCTGAAAAGGATAAACAATTTAATCTCTCTTGACCTTTATTCTAGTTCCTTTTTTTTCTTTAATGTAGTTATTAGTTGACTGGCTCCTTGTATTTATCTACATCATCTCATCGTTTTTATGAAAACATGTCACAGACTTGATTCGCTTAGCCTCTGTTTAAGAGTTTTATTACAAAAATTATGATGTGCCTGATACCTGCACTGCCAACTTTTTTCGGTATGGAAGAAACACTCAGCAGTCACTTCTGCTAATGCTTGTTTAGATTTTCCTAAAACTTTGCTAACAGGCAAATGTAGTTCCATGCATTTTGCACATAGAGGTCTTTATTTCTCAAGGCAAGAAGCATGCAGATAAGTAGACCTTAACTTATGACAAGTAACATTTCAAGCATGATCTACTGTTTCTGCCAGCTTCTCTATAGACTAGTTCTGGCTGTTCTGCATAGGAGTATGGAAAGACTGTACATGAGATAGGGAAGGAACCTTATTTTGACTTTTGAAGTAAGTGTGCTACTTAAGAAGATTCTGTTTGTAGGGCTGGTTTTTTTTTTTTTTTTTTTTTTTTTTTTTTTGGCAGAAGCCCATAAGTTGACCCCAATATCTTTAATTGGATTGGATTGCTAATTATAGTCTGTGTGGATATATTTTGGTTGGATGCAACCAGTAAGTCAAGTTCAAATAAGGGCTGAAGAAAAACTTCAGAGATAAGAAAATGTCTCTGTTTCCTAGAAGGCTACACATAATATTTGAATAACTCATGTTTTTTATCCACTGTGTGTGGTGTGTGTGTGTATACACAGATAATATTAGCAAGACTGTCTTATTTTAGGCAGTTTATGGTGTATTACTACTTACTCTAACTAGGTTGAGTGGATTCAGTAATCTCCTTGGTTTCATGAATAGGTTCACAGAAAACAGTATTTCAGTGTCTTGCTCCGTCACTTGTTCTTCATTTTGGGGCATTAATATGCACTAGAAATTGTTGACTTTTTGACACTGTAACAAATGCTTTGTGAAAGAGAAAATACTTTGGTGTGTGGTTTTTGTTTTTTTTAAACTTAACCCCAAACCACTTACTAGGGCTCTGCAGTTGTTTGTAACCCAAGCTTCTGTTTGCAAGATGCTACTCAGAAACCATATCTTGACTTCCTAATACAGTTTGAAACAACATGTGTCTGAAGTTTGTATAATAACTGAAAGATCCTTCAGGCTACTTGGAGTTTGTGTAACACTGACTGATCGCGTATTCTTTCACTTTCTGGGTGCACATTTTCCCATTTTAAAGAGATTTATTGAATAATAATTCCTATACCAATGAAATATTATTTGCTAAATAACTTTGAAATACTCAGTTGTTTTGGAAGGTGTGAACCATTACTAGAACAGTCAGTGTTAAAACACATTTGAAATTTCTGTGCGTAGTATAAGGATGACACAGTTTCTTGTAACTGTGTGGTTACAGTTTCATTTTGTGCTGTTAATGCAACAGGTGTGGTGGACTTGGTAACATGGTAGCCTAGCTTTCCTTCAGTTTTTGTAACAGAGATTCAATATTCTTTGGCATCTTCTATGGCTTGGGCATGTTTTAATCCACATTGGAGAGTGGAAAGACATGGATATATACTGAGTGAAAACTTTGTTGTACTGTACTTCCATTTTGATGTGGATAATGCATAAATGAATTGTTTTGCTATGAAGGTAGTGCACCGTATTGTAACTGCATGCTTTGTAGGTGTTTTAGTTGTACATCTAACAAAAGCCCTCTGTTCTCTTTTTTCCAACTAATAAAATAAACATTCTGTTCAAAATATGCACTATACTCCCCTTGGAAACCACAGTAGGAATTCAAAAACAGGGAAACAGGTAAATGTGTGCAGCCGTAAGTTTCGTTTAAGGTTAAAAGGCTGCTTTTATTTTCAGTATTTGTGTGAAATTTACAACCCACTTCTTGTTTAAATACTGTCTTACATAAGAAAAAATTACCAACTTGAATGGCCTTTAAAATTATTCTAGAATATTAGATTAATTTGCGTCATCCTGAATTCTCATTTCATTAGGATATACCTAATAAGAATACCATGGAAGGGATAGGGGATACTTTCTAGCACAACGTGTAGTTCAGGGAGTTTTGCGTTGCTTGGGAGGAAAGGTGTGTTTTCAGTGAGAATCTTGCTTATTCACCAATACATTTCCTCTTTGCTGTACAGAAGAGACTTCACAGGAGCACAGTGTGTTGCACTAGTTACTCTTCTTTGGAACAAGTTGGTGTGGAGTAGCAAAGATTGCTTTCTAAAGAGAAGTTATACAATAACTGGAAAAGCTGATTCAAAGTGTTTAAAAAATATTCTGTTAAAGATAGAGACACCCCCCCCCCCAAAAAAAAACCCCAAAAAAACAACAACCCAAAACCAACAAACCAAAAAACCTCAACCCAACCCAAAAAACTACCAGCAAATAATTAAACACTGAATGTGGAAGTTAACTTTTCAGTGTTTTACTTAGCATTAAAAAAAAATTCATCTTTAAAGTTTGGGTTTACATACTTATTTTGGCTAATTGTATGAACAACATTCCGGGCTACCTACATGAAGAGAATTTATAAAGGAAACTTATTTAGACAAATCACTAGTATATACTAATAAAAACACTGCAAAAAATGCAAGGGTGTAGTGGGTGATTATTTGGCATTTTTTCCTTGTTCCATAATTCTAGGTCAATGTTAAGTGTGGACATTCAGGTAGTTTTGATGCATGCCATGGATTTTAAACACCTTATTTTTGCCTTTATTATTAAAGATGTTCAGGTGTAGTAGGAAGCTGTGGCAAAGTTAATGCTGCCAAAAAAATCCCCCAAGGTTTGATAACATTAGATGTTGCTTTCAAGGAGAATGAGCATTTTTGGCTTGGGTATATGAAGATACTTTTGCTCGCTTTAAATATTCCTTTGATTTTTGATACTATTTGTGTCAACACTTGTCATGTTTAGGTTAAATAAATTAATACATGTTGAATCCATCTTAACCAATCCTCTTTTTCCATGTATTTCTATGTGAGTGTCTAAGTGTGAGTCATACTGATCAAAAATGGCATTAAGAATACGTTGTTGCCCTGTGACATTTTTCTTTGTAATATCTTGACTAAAGAACAGTAGCGATTTTTAAATTCCCTTAAAAATGCAACTGGGACTTCAATATTTCATGTGCATGTTTTAATTACTTGACAACATGGTTTGCCAGACTTTTCTGCATTGTCCATGTGGTAAAGTTGTTTGATTGCCTCCTATAGCAGGACCAGAAATGAAGAGCCTGTTTCAACTTTACTGAGATCAATGAAGGTCTGACTACTACCTTTTGGTAGCTGTGGAATGTCAGTGTCTTAACAGTCAAAACCTTCTTGTACAGCTGATTTAACACCACAGAATTAATACATTGTTTCTCAGTTGAGTCCCAGCAATCTTGCAAAACAATTTCTACTAGCACACAT